GGCACTTGACGTACGGGTCCAGTGGGCGGCCCGGGAGGTGCCGGTGCCGCTACTACTGGTGCTGGCGGTGGTGGTGGCGGCGGTGGTGTAGGTGTGAGCTCACTGGTGGTGGTGTCCTGGCGATGGTGGGCCAGTATGGTGTGCGGGTCCGAGTGCACGAACCGGCAGTTGTCGCCATACATACAGTGGCTGTGCAGGTGATACCAGCAACAGGTGTCCGGTATGGGCACCGACTCGGCCCGCGAGTGACTGAACTGACACCGGGGGCCGTCACGACAGGCGCCCGACTGATGGAAACGGCATAATAGCCCGCGTTTGGCGTCCGACATGAGCGCCCGGTGCTGTTGGGACGACACGTGCGCTTTCGGTGGACGTCCCGGTGTTAAGCGTGACGGTGAGTGTGGATCCGATGCGGTGATAATCACTGGCGATGTGGCGGTTGGTGTCGTAGTGTTGCCACTAATGGCAGCCATTTGTAGGCATAGTATATGTGTTGTTGTGTTGTGTTGTAGAGCTATTACACAGTGAGTGGTATTGTGTGCGGACTTATGGCGCACTGCTGTACGTATGCGATACGTATGGGACGTGGAGTGGCGTACAGCGACCCCTACAATGTGGCGCAATGTGAGGGAATGCAGGGCGCAATGTCTGTGTGTGTGTTTGGGTGTCTGTATACGCGTGCGCACACGTGCACTGCTGTGTATGTTGTATAGTCGACTGTCGCTATAATGAGCATGGTGTTTATGTTGTAAATAATTATTTAATGTAACTGTATGCGAGTGGTATTCATTAATGATAATATAATGTAGATTATATGAATTAGTTGTAATGCTTATTAAGTGTTAATAGTTTAGCTAGGTATTTGTTAAAAGATTTATTATGTCGCGTGATATGTCTATATTAGCGATATATGAATGTAGGAAATGTATGAATTATGGGAAAGTTTAATATCATTATAATATTCCCGAAATATAATTATATTGTAGAATATTGCTAGATTAAATAGCTAATCAAAATAAAAGTTACCTATCTTACAAGAGTCTAACTAATTATCACATTCCTATACTTAATTAAATGATCTCGCTTAATTTCCGAATATATTCCCAACACATATCACACAATCCGGCAATATTTCTGTGACATAACCACTGTATTAGCAAAAAACATCTGACAGTGAGTCGTATAGTTAGCCCACAAATAACGTCCGCAAACACTGTGTCGACGCGCAGTCCATATAAGACGTGCGATAAATACACACACAAAACAACATTGAGTGCAGTGTTTGTGTATTGAGTGCACAGTAAACCGGCTAAAAGTCCAGCAAAACTTAATTGATTTTAATTGCAATTAACTTTCCGTGTATTTTACACTGGTGACATAGTGTATCACCATGAACAGAAACCTAAACAAAACTCATAAAACCGATAAACTATTACAACATACGACTAGTAGTAGCGATAGTACCGTAACTGTCGGACATAACATGACGTGTATTAATAGCACTCATAATAATAATTATAAAGTTTTATTCAAAGCGTTAATACTTATCGTATTTTTTGTACTTTTATTACTGTCGCTAATACCGGTTATCGGGGGTCAGGGGTCTAGCCTACCCTCCCTACCTAACCCGCCCGGTGGTGGTGGCAGTAAGCTAAGTCGGTGTGAGCAATGTCAATTATTAACCGACTCGTTTCAAGCGGTAGGTTAACTCATTTTAATCTCTCTCGCAGTCTCTCTCATACACTCTCGCAGTATCTCTCTCGCAGTCTCTCTCTCTCTCTCTCTCTCTCTCTCATAATTTCCTCAATCATACGGTAATTACAACAGAAATTAACTCATATTTTATTCGCATGTATGGCACCGGTATTCACTCTATTGGGGAACTGGATCGGGCGCCTACACACTCACATACGACAGGGTGTGGAGCGGACCAGTCGTGGCAAACACGAGGGCGGGGACTCCCATTGGGAGGAGTCACGGCTCGGGTCGTACGCCAACTCCGAGATCAGACTCACGGAAATACAGGAGCTCTTGTGCCACGAACTCAGCGCCGGCAAGGATCAGGTGCTCACCCATACATACATCCCTTTCCACACTCCGCTCGTACTGTCCTATCATATAAGCACTACTATCCACTCACTCATAGTCTCAGTAAATCCTATTATTAAACTCCCGGTGCTATCCATATGCCGTATATACTATACTGAACTCCCCGTCTATTCAATCATACAATTCCCAGACTCCTAGCCCTTCAGTACCTAACAAATCACGATTCATAAACTCCCGGTGCTATCCATTTTCAATCTGTATAATCCCTGTCCACTCAGACTGACACTGTTATCCAAACTCCTAGCCCTCCCATACCTATCAAAATCATTTAAACCTCTATTGACTCACGTATCTCTCTATCCATCGCATGTCATACCAGTGCCACCACTTGGCCGAGGAATACGAGCCCCAAATCGAGAACTGGTGGTTCAGCAAACGCCAGGCGTCCGACTCCCAGTCCCTCTACGACTACCTATGCATGGGTCAGATGAAGGCGTGCTGTCCTACCGGACACTACGGCCCCCAATGCCAGCCCTGCCCGGGCTATCCGGACCGCGTATGCAACACAAGGGGCTATTGCGAGGGGAACGGTAGCCGCGAGGGCACCGGGAAGTGCGTGTGTCAGCCGGCCTACGACGGCGCCCACTGTAATACCTGCGCGAAAGACCATTGGCTGAACGGGACGACCGCCGAGGGGCTGGTAGTGTGCGAGCCGTGCGACAAGTCGTGCGCCGATAGATGTCGTTCCGGAGGTCCGAAAGGGTGTCTGGTTTGCGGAACGGGCTATATATGGGACGGCGACTACGGGTGCGTCGATGTGGACGAGTGCGCCGACATGGGGGTCAACCCCTGCGAGTCCAACGCCTTTTGCATCAACACTGAGGGCTCGTTCTACT